TTCATGTTGCCATCAGTACTAAACATGCTCCTCTCAACCATAAGATGCAAATTTAACACTTAATAAAATAGAAATAGGGTTAACAAGCAGTCACTGATAAATAGCAAACAGGTAACTAAAATATATAAAAAAAAACTTAAAAACAGAATGTCCTGTGTTATACCAGTTATTAGCTATTGTAAGTAAAATATACAAAGTTCTTACAATAAATTCCTACATTTGTATCACTCTTTTAATTAGAGGGAAAGGCACCAGAAAATAATGAATATTGTCTTGATATAAACACATGCTCATAACTGTGTAATAGAGTTATATTATATAAGCATGTTGGATACCAGTGGTGAAGTTGAAATGATTAACTTAGATTTTAACTTCATACTTTGGCTGTAGTTTGTTTTAGAGATTGCTCTTCTGAAATCTACAACATGTTGGTTACTTATTTTTCTTTCTTAACCAGCTTAAATAAGCCTTTTTTTTTATGTGCCAGCTAATGAATTATGCATAGCATTATATGATATACTCTGTCTTGATGCTGTTACCAAAACTTGTATTCAGTAACATTTAACTCTCAAGTTGCTGGCTTGTTTTCATACCGTTCACTACTGGTAGGTTACAAAAATTGCACTATATTGATTAATTTTATGTTTTTGTCTGTTATATCACACATTAAAAAAAAAAGAATTTTCTCTGCAAGTTAAATATAGAACCCAAGCAGTAATCAGTGGTATTAATTATTGGCTGTTTTGTTTACAATTTGTTTGTGACTCATTTGTTATAAAGGGATTCAGTAACCAGTTGATTTGTACAGTCTGAAGCAATTTATGTTCATACATTTTTGTAAAAAGTCAGGTAGAAGTTCTTTCTTTGCTTTGAAATGTGTGGAATATACATATAAACGATCACATACATTAAAAGCTCTTACAAAATTAACATTAGATACTCAAATGCATGCTTTATAGACAATATACTGCAGACAACATTGTAAGTTTAACTTCCAAGAATAAGTTTACTAGCTGTACAATCTCTAGACTCCTGAAAAGCAATCAGGACAACCATAATTGAGAAACAACCTGACTGCTTACCACATTACTAGGCTTAATCCCAACCAGAGTTCATGGTGATATTTCACTGTAATTATGTATAAATACATGCCAAAGAGTGGTTATTTGTCAATTTCTATTATGTGACATACCACTTAATATTTTAGATATAGTGTATTAGATATTTATGACTCTTTCTTATGCCCTCCCCCAACTTGAATCTTTTTGCTACTAATTCTCTTTAACATTCAAAATTTAATGTCAAGGACAATTAGATGGTTCTTCTGTTAACTATACCTCTCCACAATTCTTTATGGCAAATTGATAGCAAAGATATGATCTAATATGACAGTCAATGAAAACTACTAGTGTTACTGATGGGCATGTATTTCTATTCTGTTCAACTGTGAGTTCACTCCTCTCCTCTCTCCAAATTAGAAAAGTGTGTATTATCATCTTTATTTACATTATAACACATTTTCTATCTACTTACAAACATTTGTGAAAATGCTATAAGAATGAAAATTAATAATTAACACTCAATATAGGCTCGGTCAATATGACCGACAATGTGACCTTTTTGTACTCATTTAAAGTCTTTATAGATTTAATACTTACAACTCTCAATATAGTGTGTATATCTTCATTGAATTTGGTAGTCTTTCACATACCCAAAAAATCACATTTTTTTAGTGAAGAATTTTTAATAAAATAAAATAAAGATTTGAC